TACATATGTAAGTCTTTTTTTTCTTCACCCAAGGATGTTTTGAAAAATATATATATAGTGATTTCAGAGAGGAAATGAAGGGAGAGAGAGATAGAAACATCAATGTTGAGAGAGAAAATCATGGACCAGCTGCCTCCTGCACGACCCCCACTGGGGACCAAGCCAGCAACCCAGGCATGTGCCCTGGACTGGAATGGAACCCGGGACCCTTCAGTTCACAGGCCGATGCTCTGTCCTCTGAGCCACACCCTTCTTGTGATGGAGATGATACGATGCCTATGGGATGAGATGGAGTGAAGTAGCTATGGCACAAGATTTCATCCTGCTACTGAGAATGGCACACAATTTAAAACTTACTAATTTTGTTTATTCTGGAATTTTCCATTTAATATTTTCAGTCTTCACTTGACTCTGGGTAACAAACCATGGAAAGCAAAACGGGGGATATACTCAACAGGACTAATACTCCCACCACCAGTGTGATTACTGAAAGCAGTTAAAGTTTACTTTTCTTTCCCGTACACTCCCAAGTGTAGAGCCACGCCTCTGTCAGAGCACGTAGCTGTGGCTCTCTGCTGACTCCTTACTGAGTTTTGATTCTACAGTTTGCTATGTGGTCATCACCCGTCCTTATGTCCCTGCCTCTCATCATGTTATTTTGGTTTTTCTGAAGTTTGATCTCTAATAGATTTCACAGGGAAGCTCACAGAAGCAGCGTTCCTCAAGTTCCTTGTGTGCTGATACAGTTCCATCCTTTACGCGTGGAAGTGGGTTTGATGGTGTGAAAGCCTTGACTCGCGTTTTCTTAAGCGTCTTGGTTCATTTCTTCTGACAGAGGCGTTGCTGTGGCAGAGCCTGCGGATCTGGCCTGTGAGTGCGCCCTAGAGACGGCTTGGTCTTTTCTTAGGAGCCCAGGGCCTGTGGGCTAACGCTCTCAGGGACCAGGGGCGCACTTTCAACTGAGCCAGACTTTTTTCTGTTCAAGGGAAATGTCTCGCATTCGAGTTGTATCGTAGTTTCTTGATCCAGCTCTGGGTTTTCTTGCTCCTTGCAGGCGACGACAAGCCAACCTCCTTAAGGGCAAGCAGCTTCTTCGCGAGGGGAAGGTCCCGGAGGCCAGAGAATGCTTCACCCGCTGCGTCAACGTCACACATGCGATGGCCCACAACGTCATTAAAGTAAGCGAACAAGGAACAACGCGCCCTCGCCCGTGTGGCTCAGTGGAGAGAGCCTGCGGACCGAAGGATCCCGGGTTTGGTTCCTTCCGAGGGCACATACCTCGGTTGCAGGCTCCTCCCCAGCCCGGGCCCTGGTCGGGGCTTGTGCAGGAGGCAACCAATCGGTATGTTTCTCTCACATTGATGTTTCTCTCTGTCTTTCCCTCTCTCTTCTGCTCTCCCTAAAAACCAATGGAAAAATATCCTCGGGTGAGGAATAAAAAACAGAAATGATGCCTAAGTAACATAGTGACGTTCATGGAAGCTGGTTGTAAGTTATTGATGGGAGAGCAAGGAGATGCAGGGAGGGGAATTATTGTAGGCCTGACCTCCTGGAGAGGGCTAATGTCAACAAGAAGGGAACAGTTTGCTTAGATAGAATTCAGCATTTCCAAGGGAGAAAGCCCGAGGGATAAGCTGAGCTCTCCCTTTTTAAATAAGACCCCTAGGTGACCTCCATCAGCATGTCCCGGAGATGGAGGGGTGCACTGCTGGGGTCTCAGTCCCACCCCCACTGGCACCGAGTCTTCACCACTTACTGACGCTTCGCTCCTGGACGCCTGCCCGAGACCCTGAACCAGCCTCGCTGACTCGGGAACTCTGCAGACTCCCAGGCTACCCCATCTGCTCTGCTTCGACGGGTCTGTTATCACCAAATATTAGTGTCCAGGTGCCCACAGTCCCAGCCCTCCCTCCCCCTTTTCAGGCCTGTGTTCAAACTGCTCGAAAACAACGGGGATTATAACTATGGTGATTAGACTCAACGTCAGGTAGACTCTTGTAGCCTGACAAGAGAGCCTGTTATTTTCATGGGGAAAATAGATTCAGAGCTCTAAACATGTCAGATACTTTTTTTTTTTTTTTCAGAGAGGAAGAAAGAGGGAGAGAGAGAGAAACATCATTGATGAGAGAGAATCATGGATCTGCTGCCTCCTGCACGTCCTCTACTGGGGATCGAGCCTGCAACCTGGGCATGTGCCCTTGAGGGGAATCGAACCCAGACCCTTCAGTCTGCAGATGGACCATAGCCATTCTTCAGATGGAAACTTGTCTCTTGTGACTTACAGTTACTGGCCCCCTCCCCGTGTAAAGCGGTGTTTCTTTTCTCCAAATATATAAGTTGATTTTAAAAAAGGACTCAGTGGCTATCTGATCAGTTCATTATATACTCGGACTAAAAGCAGGAAAAGCATACTTGAAAGGATATGATTTTTATATGTATACTCGAGGCTCGATGAAATTCGTGCAAGGGTAGGTCTTCCTTTCCCCGCTGCCAGCACTGGCTTCCCTCGCTCAGTCCCACCCCCACTGGCATCGAGTCTTCACTTACTGACCCTTCGCTCCTGGATGCCTGCCCGAGACCCTGAACCAGCCTTGCTGACTCGGGAACTCTGCAGACTCCCAGGCTACCCCATCTGCCCTGCTTAGACGGGTCTGTTATCACCAAATATTAGTGTCCAGGTGCCCACAGTCCCAGCCCTCCCTCCCCCTTTTCAGGCCTGTGTTCAAACTGCTCGAAAACAACTGGGATTATAACTATGGTGATTAGACTCAACGTCAGGTAGACTCTTGTAGCCTGACAAGAGAGCCTGTTATTTTCATGGGGAAAATAGATTCAGAGCTCTAAACATGTCAGATACTTTGGGAGCATAGACATTCTTTTTTTTTTTTTTTCAGAGAGGAAGAAAGAGGGAGAGAGAGAGAAACATCATTGATGAGAGAGAATCATGGATCTGCTGCCTCCTGCACGTCCTCTACTGGGGATCGAGCCTGCAACCTGGGCATGTGCCCTTGAGGGGAATCGAACCCAGACCCTTCAGTCTGCAGATGGAGACTATCCACTGTACCAAACCAGCTAGGGCTACTAGTAGTTAGAGGGACTGTCCCCCTCCCCGTGTAAAGCGGTGTTTCTTTTCTCCAAATATATAAGTTGATTTTAAAAAAGGACTCAGTGGCTATCTGATCAGTTCATTATATACTCGGACTAAAAGCAGGAAAAGCATACTTGAAAGGATATGATTTTTATATGTATACTCGAGGCTCGATGAAATTCGTGCAAGGGTAGGTCTTCCTTTCCCCGCTGCCAGCACTGGCTTCCCTCTGGCACCCAGGGCCCGGACTTCCCTCGCAGCCCCAGTTTCATCCAGAAGGACATCTGGTCTAATTATGCTTTTATTATAGATATTTTTATTGATTTCAAAGAGGAAGGGAGAGGGAGAAAGACAGAAACATCAAAGATGAGAGAGAATCACTGATTGGCTGCTGCCTGCACGCCCCTACTGGGGGTTGAGCTTGTGACCTGGGCATGTGCCCTTGACCGGAATTGAACCTGGGACCCTTCAGTCTGCAGGCCGACACTCTATCCACTGAGCCAAGCCAGCTCTGGCAAGGGTATGATTTTTGAAAATAGTATCAGCACGTGCACGGTGAAGCTGGTGATAAAATGGATTTGAAACAGGGAGTTGTTCAGTTCTTTCCAGACGCTGTTCTGCACATTGACTGCCCCTCTCCCCCAGGCTGCTCGGGCTCAGGGGGTCGACTGTCTCGTGGCGCCGTACGAAGCAGACGCACAGCTGGCCTATCTGAACAAAGCTGGGATTGTACAGGCCATCGTCACGGAGGACTCGGATCTCCTCGCTTTCGGCTGTAAAAAGGTGCTAAAATAGTGTGAACCGAGGAATTCAAGTTTCTCCTCTGCAGTAATATTTCATTTAATACCTGAAATTACTTAGTGTTAATAGATATATTATTTAAAATGAAAAGACAGGTTTTGCTGCTTGATATTTGTATAATCTGGGTGCTTTTTCAGAGTGAACTTACGGTTAGAGCATTTTGTTTTGTACAAATTTTTTAATAGGATATAGACTTAGTCTTATTTTTTAATAATTATTTGCTTTATATTTTTCAATTAGATTAGGTAAATAAACCTTTTTATAATGCGATTGTGTATAAACTCTTTAATGGAAATTTTTATGACATATTAAGTAGGAAAGTTAAGATACAGAAATATAGGGTGATCTCATTTTTGTTATTCTTATTTTCTATACATAGATGACTAGAAGGATCTGTGTCAAAAGGATACCGCTGGGTAACAGCGATAGATGAGAGATTTAGGGCCACTTCTATTTTATTCCTCCGGGATTTCTGTTTTCCAGTTTTCTATAGTGAACATGTCTTACTTTAAAAATAAGAAAACGGTTTACTTTTTAAAAAGTAACAGTGGCAGGTAAGGGGGGAGTGCTCTGTATGAATTGCTATTTGATCACCATGACAACCTGTACTGTCGGTAGGAAGTAAAGGTGTAGAAAGGGTATTCCTTGTGTCAAGAGTCCTAGCCCGTGCTTCCCCTTGATTTGTCTGCAGATTTGACAGTAGTTAACTGGCCGACCTGTCTCGGCCTCTCTCGTTGCCCTGATGAAGAACAAGAAAGATTTCTTAGAAATATTGCAATGAATTGAATAATAAAAAATACAAATGGCCCTAAAAGGTATGAACAGTTTCCTTTCCTCTTAAAGGTGATTTTAAAAATGGACCAGTTTGGAAATGGACTGGAAATTGACCAGGCTCGGCTGGGCATGTGCAAACAGCTTGGGGATGTGTTCACAGAGGAGAAGTTTCGGTACATGTGCATCCTTTCGGGCTGTGACTATCTCTCATCGCTGCGCGGGATTGGGTTAGCAAAGGCCTGCAAAGTGCTGAGGCTAGCCAATAACCCAGACATTGTAAAGGTAAGAGGGACTCACAAGGGTCATACTCGACTTCTGAAGCGTTTCTTAAATAATAGATAAAACACTAAGAATATGGATTAAATATTATACTACGTTAACAGCCAATAAGGTGTCGCTGAAATAAAATGACTAAGACACTAGAACTTTGCTTTTGGCAACTATAATGAACCATGTTTTCAGCAATTACAAACTAGTGGTTTTTAAAATGAGTAATATAAAGAGACTTAAGGGCTATTTAAAATATATTCTAGGGGCCGAAACCGGTTTGGCTCAGTGGATAGAGCGTCGGCCTGCGGACTGAAGGGTCCCGGGTTCGGTTCTGGTCAAGGGCATGTACCTGGGTTGCGGGCACATCCCCAGTGGGAGATGTGCAGGAGGCAGCTGATCGATGTCTCTCTCTCATCGATGTTTCTGGCTCTCTATCTCTCTCCCTTCCTCTCTGTAAAAAATCAATAAAATATATTTAAAATATATATATGTATTCTAGGGTAGGTATAATGTTAAAACGTACCATCTTTTGTAAAAAAAATTTTTTAAATATATTTTTATTGATTTCAGAGAGGAAGGGAGAGAGAGATAGAAACATCAATGATGAGAGAGAATCATTGATTGGCTGCCTCCTGCACGCCCCCCACTGGGGATCGAGCTTGCAACCCAGGCATGTACCCTTGACCCAGATCGAACGGGGGTCCCTTCAGTCCACAGGCTGATGCTCGATCCACTGAGCCAAATCGGCTAGGGCAAAACGTACCATCTTTTTATCTCTGTCCTATTACTCAGTGTAGTGGTTCTCAATCTTTAGGTCTCAGGATCCCTTTATGCTCTTCTTTTTCTTTTTTTAATATATATATTTTTTTATTTCAGAGAGGAAAGGAGAGGGAGAAAGAGACAAACATCTATGATGAGAGAGAATCATTGATTGGCTGCCTCCTGCGTGGCCCCTACTGGGGTTCGAGCCCACAACCTGAGCTTGTTCCCTTGACCAGAATCGAACCTGAGACCCTTCAGTCCAGAGGCCAATACTCCATCCACTGAGTCAAACCGGCTAGGGCTTAAGTTCTATTCTTAATGAAGACTTTTTTTTTAAATGAAGACTTTTTTTTA